AACTCAATGGGAGCCTTTCTACTGACTCTTTCATCTCTCTATTGAATAAATTTGGATCACTGAGACACCACAGTAATGTGACCACCACAACACCATTTTAAGTCTTCTTACAAAGTAAATTAGCATTTGAGGAGTTAGATTCCCTAAATTTGCTGCTGTTACACTTTTAGATTGATAACTGTTATTCCCACTTCAGTCTTCCATTTGGTCAGCCATAGTTTGCTATCATGTTTGGTTGTTGCTAGGAGTTACTCTGTGGTGCATATTTGAAATATGGCTTCAGATTTCTGAGGCATTTAAGCAATGTGTTGAGGCAGAAAAGCGCAGGGATTTGTGTTAGACATATGCTAGGTGACAGAGGTTTCAGCTCCCCTTTCTTGGCTAAGTATCACTGTAGTAATGTGAGGGAATACATAGTCTTGCCATAACATCCATGTGCTAATCTGCAGCCAGCACTCTACAGGGAAGTACTACTGTGCACATGTACCTGACACAAATGGCTATGACAGGAAGTCACTATTTCTTAGTCCTTTCATGGAGAAATGGCAAGTGATACATGTTCTAAAATTCCATGTTTTGCTTCCTTCAGTTTACATGCAGTGCCATGAATCGTGTCAAAGCATTCTTATATTGATGTGTAAATACCCCAATCGAGGCCTAATAAGCACAGAGAGGAACAGAGGAATTATTTCTCATGTCTTGCTTACAATACTATTGCTAATACATCCTAGAACAATGTTTGCGTGTGTGTGTGTTTTTTGGGTTTTTTGGCAACAGCATCACACTGACTCACATTTAGGTTGTGACTCACTATAACCCCTAGATTCCTTTCTGCAGTATTTCTTCCTAAGCAATCAGTTCCCATCTTGTAAGTATGGTGCAGCTGGTTTTTCTTTCCTGAGTACTTTGCATTTGTCCTTATTGAATTTCATCCTATTTTCTTCAGTCCATTTCCCCAGTTTGTCCAGATCACTTGCAATTTTAATCTGGATCCAGAATTGATTCTAGCGGGGCCTCACTCAATATGCCCTTCCAACTTGACTGTGAACCATTCATTGATAAGTACTCTCTGGGAATAGTTTTTCAATCAGTTCTCATTACTGTGTTCAATTTGTCTGGGTGGCAAGATAGGCTCGAGAGTCTCGGTGGATTGCCTGTAACTAACTCCATGTTAAAAACTGGTCTAATGATCCAAGAGTGCACATTTGGAATGAGCTTAGTGAAATTATTCATAGAATATACCATTGGGCTGGGGTGGCAGTGTGACAACAGCATCCTGACTGAATCTGCCTTGTCTGTAACAGACTAGCTGAAACTATATATCACCATTCACCTTCCTCCCCTCCGTTTTCCTCCCTTCCTCCCCCCACACCAAACCACCATATTCCCTTATGGCACACTGCTTTACTAACTATAGGAAACTGTCTTGTTTACTGCATGTAATTAAGGTTTTTAAGCTTTTAATTAAAGCACCATGGAAATTGTTTGCCATTTTAACCTGCCAATGATTTTTCCCCTATGTGACTGAGTCGGAATCAGACCAAAAAAAACAAACAAACAAATTAGATATCACTTTATGTGCATCGGTAACTTGGTTGCTAGTGTACATATTTTACATTCTTAATTTCAGTGAGTGCTAGGGTTGTCAGGCACCAGCACCACTGACAGAGCTGTAAAAAGTCTGGTCAGTGATGCTGATTCCATGCAGCTTCTGCAAATGTCCAGCATGTCCCTGCAGCTCCTAGGCAGTGTGGCAATGCCCTGCCCCCAGAGCCTGTGGGAACATGCAGAGCTCCCTGGAGCCTCTGAGGGGCTATAGGGACATGCTGGCTTCTTCTGGGAATCACACAATTAGCCCCTCTGCACTGCTGACCAGGAGCTGTCTGAGGTAAACAGTAGCTGGCTGGAGCCTGTGCCCTGATATCCCTCCCACTTCCTCAACTCCTGCCCCAGGTCAACCCACCCCCACACCCAAACTTCCTCTTGGAGCCAGCACCCACATCCCCTCTTGTACCCCAGCTTCCTCTTACAACTCTTCTGACTCAGCAGAGGCCCCCCTCAGCCTACACCCCACATCACCTTCTGCACCTTACCCCAGCCCTAAGCCTCCTCATGGACCCAACCTCCCTCCCCAACCCCTAGAGCCCACTCCTACATTTGGAATGCCTTAGCCCCAGTCAGGAACCCCCTCTTGCACTCAAAACTCATCACTCCTGGCCCCACCCAAGAGTCTGCACCCCTAGCTGGAGCCTTCACCCCTTCTCACCTCAGTGAAGGACAGTCTGTGTCAGTAGGAAGGGATGCAGTGAGTGGACTCTGAACAAGAGGGGTCACATGCAGTCAGAAATGTAGGGCTGGAAGGGACCTTGAAGTAATCTCCCCACTCTCCTGAAATAGGATCAACTAAATCTCTAGACTATCCCTGTCAGGTGTTTGTCAAACCTATTCATGAAAACCACCAATGCTGTGGTCCCTCAGCTTAATTACCTCATTTCTTTTTATCATCATCATCATCATCCCTTGAGAGAAGAAAACAGAGCCTCTAAACCTGAGAGTTACAAAGAAATAAGCACTCTGGTTGGTGACATGGAAAACAATGGTCCTGAGGGTAAATTTTGCAGATGTTACTGGCTGTTAAATCTTACATTCTAACATCTGGGTTGGAAATGCATAACATTTCATCTGTGTAAAATAATGTCTTCAGTGAGGAAAATAACATATGCCTCAAAAACAGAGGGAGCAAGCAGAAGAGTAATTTCTGAAAATTAGAAGGTTGTTTCTGAAAGGAAACATCTGCAATTAGTTCTTGTTGTGGAAAGGCTCTCAATACCACAGCCACCTTCAGGTTCTGTACAAAGATGGCTCTTCTGTGCTGTATGTGGTTTAGATATGTGCTTGCTCTTGAGGAGATTGGAAATGAACAAGAAACTTCACACCCTCATCTCTTTCTTTCCAACCTTGAGTGCAGAGTGTAATACTGCACTTCCATATTTTTATGGAAATTTTTTTGAATATGACTACAGGTTCTTGAATAGCAGGAAAGGGTGGTAGGGCACCCCTGAGGGCAGGCAGGCAAATTCAGTGGTATGATCAGCCTATCAGGTGACAGCCTCAAGGCTCTTGCATAACTCTCCTTCACTAAGGCCTACTATGGTCGAAGACTCCTCCATAGCTTGGTTCCACACAACTTGGGAGGAAGCAGGAGACCAGAACTCTAGGACTATACTCTCAAGGAAGACTGCATGTTATTCAAGTACCGCAGGTTGCCTTGAATGAAGAGGGGAAAGCTGCTCTATAATTATAAAGATATACACGTTGAATATATTTTTTCATGTTAAGTATAAACAATACAGGCAGTTCTTAGTTGTAGGGAACACACCATAGTCCTCACTTCAGTTCAACTGCACACTAACCAGCTCCCCTGCTTCTCTTTTGCATGCTGCTTCAATAGAGATGTTTTTAGATTTTTCAACCCATCCTTTTGTACAAAAACAGAAGGATTACATTTCTTCTCAATTTGAAAACAGCTCAAAGTGATTGAGATATTCTAAAATCCTCCTTACTTCAGCTAATGAAGCCACCAAGTATTGTGTTATGAAAGAGAGGCGGATTTCTGATGGAGAGACACAATGTGACCATGATCCATCATTCCCTGTAATTGTATCATAGGGAACTGTACTTGTTTTTCAAACCATTTGGCTACAGTAAGAAGCTGCTGCTCTCGGAATGCACGGCCAATAAACTGAAGCCCAATTGGCAAACCTCTCTCCGAAACTGCTGTTGGAACAGTTATGGCTGGCAGCCCTGAGGGGGGAGGGAAAAGCAAAATTATTAAAACATCATATGTGGCAGATTAGCTATTACATTAATTATTACAAAAGTGACTCTTAGGAAAGGGAACCAAAACAAAAGCATGTAAGCAAAGACACTAAAGTTAAAAATCTTAGTCATATAACCAAGATTATTACTCTTGGGGGAATTCTGTGCAAATGCACAGAATTCATACCCTCTGCATATTCCCTGCACCTGTAGAAAATGCATTCTGCCAGAGAGGTGCTGCAGTTACACTTTTTACCCGCTAGGGGCTTGTGGTGCCAGAAAGAGGGTAGTTGCTCAGGGACTGGAACAGCCAATTGCAGATATGAAGAGGGCAGAGGCTGGGTTCCTCTACAGGACTAGGTGAGGAGGCACAGGATGGGGTAGTGGTGGACAGAGTGGGACACAGAGGACTGCTGAGGGGTCTCTGGGGACACAAGAGGCTGAATGGGAAGGGGGTACAGGACCACACAGGGACAAGGCAGATGTGCCTGAGTGACTAGGAGAAGCTGGGGTCATGCATGTTCTACATATGGGGGAGGAAGAAGAGGAGGAGGCTCCTCAATTCCTTAACAATTCCTCCCCTCCTCCTACTCCCCCTCCCCTAAATAGCACCTGTTGCATAATTCTCCCACCCAAATCCACCAATACTCCAGGTACACTCCCAGGCTCCTTTCCAGCAATTACTTTCTTTTCCCTCAGCTCTTCTCCTACCCGATTCCCCAAGCCTTTGCTCTGCTTCTGAGGTGAAATATGGTTTTATAACAGTGAGGGGCAACCTAGGCTAGTGAGTGGGCTGCATGAGTGGCCCACCATCTTAGTGGATCGCAAGATTGTCATAACCAAGATGGTCTATTGAGAGAGGGTAGTTTTGCTAACTGTACTTGCATATCTAGAAATTGTGGGGTATGCTGACTGGATGCAGAAGGAGCACATGGCTCTCACAATGTTGTGTGCAATCAGCACACACCTCACTTACTATGCCCTTGCTGTACATGCATGTCACTTTAGTGATATCGGTAGGAAAGAAACTCTGTCGATGGAAGCCAGTGGAATCTGGCAATCCTGTGCGTGAGCAACAGTTCACAAAATATCTTGTGGGCCACACATAGAACCTTGATGGGACATATCCAGTCCATGCGCTGCAGGTTGCCCACCATTCTTCTGTACTGTAATTATTACTCAAAGTTCTGCATTAATGTGCCTAGTAAGGAATCTATTTGTCAAAACAAATTTCCTGATTCTTTTTTATTGTCTGCATTGTTACAGATATACTGACATGATTTTGAAATAAATTACCAAAATAATGTGAAGTGTAATTATATTGTGTTATTTTGACAAACCAAATATACAGAATTTTTAAATGGTGTGCAGAATTTCTAATTATTGGTTCAGATTTTTAAAAATGTTTTAGTGCAAAATTCCTCCAAGAGTAATTATATATTAAATTCTTGCACATTTAGTGAATGAACTCACATTACATTACCACCATCTTATGGTCAATATAAGCTTTGCTACTCAGAGAAACATGCTGACAACTTGATTCAGACAGTTGCTTTCTATACAGAGATCCTATAAAAAGAAGGCAGTCAGCTAGTGAGAATGGATACTAAATTGAAGATTAGCAGGGGAATATTCTAAGTAGAAGCACTTCTTTCTCTACTTACCTGCCATGTTTGCGGCCTGTGTAAAAATATCATCCTGTGCACTGCGGGTTCTATTGTCTTCTTTGATAAATTCTACATATGGTATTGTATCTCTTAGAGTAGTAGGAGTGAGCAAAACATCAATACCACCATTGAAAACATTCACAAAGTCATTGGCGATGAGTCGTCTAACTTTTTGGGCCTTGATAAAATAATTTTCATAGTTCCTAGGAACAAAGAATCACTGGAGTTAAAAATTAAGTTTAATACCATCAATAATTAAAATGGATGAGACACCAGTGGGGAAAAAACAAACCCAGTGTTCCCTCTGAGTTGAAGGACTGCATCGCTTCAAACACCTAGGTTTTCAACAGCACAAACTCAGTCATCAAAGCAGCATGGTTGCAGATGCCCTAATGGCATTAAAGTATGTTCTTAAAATGAGTCATGAAACACATGCAGGAAGAACTAGGATCAAGTGTCACTGAAGAGTGGAGAGGGAATATAAATAAAGGAAAACACAAGCCATGTGAAGGGTAGGCTCTAGATATTTTGTGACCCAGTCTCTTTCTGGAAGTCTACTGTTCAATTATCCCTGAATTTCATTGCATGATGGAAGAGTGATGTCTGGAAAATGACTGATAAATGACATTGCTACATCTGGTCCTTTTTATTGATATTCCAGAGAACCACATCAGGTCTTTGCTCAAAATTCCGGAGTGATTTATTTTATGTAAGCAGCAATTTAGACTGAAGGAGGCTCTGAATTCTTCATCTGTTTTGGTGTATATCTGAAGCAGAAACAAACTAAACAGTTTATATTTCCTACTGCAGCATTACCCTAAGTTTAAGGATTTAATGTCAAGTTTAGAAGTTCAGTTTCGAAAGAATTAGTCAATAACTGGTATTAAACATTTTCTGGTTAAACAGCAAATATTTTGTAAATCAACTGTAAGTAAATACCAGTGTGGTGTCTGATAAAAAAAATTCAGATTATCCAATACATAGTTGTCAGCTCATCACTCTGAAGATCCAATTTGCTGAAAAGTTGTAATGAAAACAAATCTGAAAGTGTCTTAACTTTTCAAGGCTTTAAAGCATTTACAAGAGAACCTGATTCTTAGTCTTTCAAAATGATTGTAAACATCAAGATACAACTGATCCATTTTAAGAGTTGCAGAACTAATGGAAATGTTCAAGACTCATGTAAGACTAAGTGTCTTCAACTAGTTTTCCTGGTTTAAAATTTTATATCAACTGCTTTTAAGAGGAGAAAAGACCGAGTAGTTAAATTTTAGATTTCAAAGGGCCCAAATGCTGATGTCATCTGTAACTTGAAGACATATGGCTTTTATTAGCTCTGTAAAACTTTAAAGCAGTAGGAATATTCTTATGTGCACTCAGTGTCACAATTCAGGGCAACTGCACCTGTATCCTCCTGCTATGGCTCAGTGAAGATACCCCCTCTCAGCTTGCAGCTTTCCACTGGCTAGGGGAGTTCAGACAGCTTCAGCTCAATTCACCTATTGAACAGTTCATAGGTCTTTGATTTGGAGTTTCCAAATGCAGGTAATTAGCATACTGTTCCTTTTTTGGGACTTATCTTTAAAGGCAGAGAACAACAGTACATAAATGTTTCTAATACAATGTGGCAGAGTGGAAATCCTCATTGGTTGGAACCCAACAGGGTGGAGGCAGAGAAAGTGAAAATCTTACAAAGTTAGAGGGGTAATATGCTCTCCAATAACAGTCATCAATGAAGACAGATTGAGATTGGGTGGGAAATAAATATGTTCTTTCTGATCAGTTCATCCAGCTGAGCTTTTAAATTGCCAGGCCCTAGGGCAGCTGCCCCTTTTGTTCCCTCTTCTCCATTGGCAGTTCAGGGCAGGGGGAGCAGAAAGTACAGCAATGTGCCACAGCAGAATTTTAATGTCAGGTGTGTACGGGCCAGTATGCCGTACTGGCCCTCTTTCACTTCTGCAATCACTAAAACACCACAGGCTAAATTTTTGCATGGCTTAACCAAGGAGTACCAATATGGCACTCAAAGTGCCCATTGCACAAAATGCTGTTCTACCTTCCTAAATTGAAGGTAGGAAAGCATTTATTTGTAGGCATTAAAATCCGGGTGTCTCATATTATACAGTTAAATCAATATAAATAGATATTGCCTTAGCAACAAAGAATTTGCCCAATGTAAGTAATTTCATCCTGAGTTGCTTTAGAAATAAGTCATTGATATTGTACATTTGAGATTTGAAATGTGCTGAACTTACTGTTTTAACAAAAAGTAGTTTCCTGATAGAATTCTTCCTCTGACAACATCATTAAACCCTTCTCGTCGTGTTGCAGCATACATGACTTCTGTGGACTTGTCCATACTAGAACGGTGTCCTAAAGGTAAATCACCAGTAATTTTAAAACAAATCCCAAAGATCCATGAAAATAATATAAAATATTTATCTTCATGATGACATAGTACATCAAGTGTGGCAGATATTAACATTTTTTTTTTGCACACAAGCTAAAAACTTGTTAAATATTAAATTAATTCTGGAATTATACTGGGGACTACGCATTTGGGGGGGTCTCAAGAAATTTGTATCCATTATGAAAAGTACAATGAAAGAAGTGCTGCATATGAATTAGGGATGTAAAATCCTACATAACTGGTTAATGGGTTAAATGGGAAGTTTAACCACTTAATTAAAGGGGGACTGCCACTCCAGCCTGACTCCTGGGGATCCTGCTACAAGCAGGGACTTCGCCAGCATGCCCAGAGCAGCCCCTGTTTGTGGTCCCCCCAGGTCCACTGCAGACAGGGGCTGCTCCAGACAGCCTAAGCAACCCCTGTCTGCAGTGGGTTTCATAGGGATGGAGCAATGTTTGCCCATGGTGCAGCCTCTATCAGTTAAGGGTTAAGCAGTTAACCAGTTAAGGGTGATGCTTACTGGTTAACTGTTCATATCCCTAATATGAACACTCTTATGTTTCATTTAAATCTGACAGGGAAGGTAGAGAGAACTAACTCTTCTCATCCTTCATGAAATGCATATGTAGAAATATTTCAGTAATACCGATAGCTCACCCTTCAGTTTATTTTGAGCAGAGTCTAAAAACTGATCTGAAAAATGCATGCATGGTTTGTGCTGCAGAGTACATGCGTTAAAATACAGTTTCTCTCAGTCTAAACAAAATCAAACAAACGTTGCTTGCAGAAATGAAAAGCCAACGACTTATTTACAGGGGTTTGATCCTAAGCGATGGTATTCATTGAAATTCAATGGAATTAATTCCATAGACTTTGGATCAGGCCCTATCTACCCATAACTTAAAGCACACCCAAAACTCAGCACCACTCACACTGATGTAAGCAGCGAAATTCCACTCATTTTTCAATTAAACTGAACTTGTTTATGGCACTTGCTTAACTGTTTGGCAAATGGCTCAATTCTGTGACCCATGGACAGATGCACAAAGACCACTCAGTCTAGTTCAAAACCTGAATATGTGTAATAGAGTATATAATAGACTCTATTATATGTTGGAAAAAACGTAACGCCAAACATTCAACCATTAAATGCAGGTAACCGTGTCTGTTAAGTCATCATAGCACATACACCTTTGGCAGGAATCTTTATACAATTTAATAACCAAAGTGAATGCTTATTTTTATATAAATATAGCCCTTTTTCCTTTGAAAACTTTAACTTACCATATTCTAGTCCATCAAACCTAGCCATATTTGATGCTACTTCTGCTGTGCACAGCACATGATAGCAGATAATTGAATACTGTGTGTGGGGTAGACTCACTTCCTTTACTCTGGCACCTGCATTCTCAAAGAGATCAGCAGCCTTAGACCAAAGTGCCAGAGTTTCACTTGATAATCCTGGTGCATGGTATTCCTTAGAGAACAATAGTTAGAATATTAATCATATGCACAACCATCTTAAAAATTTTTCTATGGGTTTACTTTCAAAGATTCTTAATTATCTGCAAACAGGCCAAATTATGGAACATATTGTTAGATGCAAATACAGTTAAATTAGACCTCATCTCAACATTCTTTTTAAAATGACTTATTACAGACTTACGTTTGCGTGGAACATTAAAGGATATTAAATAGTATTCAGTTAATAGGTTTCTTTCACAGATTTTAAGGCCAAAAAGATGATCATAATGGTCCTACTCTGTTATTCAGGTGGTCAGGTTAGAATATATCACTATGCAAGTCTTGCTTCTATTTTGTAATTTGACAAACGGGTAGTTTCCCCTTCAGAGTCTATTAACTGCGGTTGTGCTGCACTGAGCTTCAGTTCAGGTACAGTACATATTAAAATTTAAACCACAATACCAGGCTTTTATGTTAAATGAGCAGAATGGCTAAAGTACATGAATGGCAAGTGTCATACCTATGTCAAAGACAGCACTAAATCAGAGTGAGTGTCATAACAGGGGGGTTGGTGACAAGCCTCACTCTGTGTATGCTCTTAGGATTTGCCAATGTGGGGAGATTTGCCTAGCATAGCTACTGAGTGAGCAGTGAGGTACTGAGGAACAGCAGAATTAGCTAGGATGTAAATTTAAAGTGCATTAACTTTCCCATGTAGACAAGCCCTTACAAGGAGGCTCTGATAGACAGCCTGGTTAGTTTAAATTACTAATGGTGTTTAGTTGCATTTTCACTTTTGGCAACACTTGCTAAGTTCTACCTATTAGTTCAGTGTCAAAATATGGATCCAATCCTGTGAACTCGACCACATCCTAGTACTAACAGTGTTGCTTACACAGAGAAAAACTCATAATATTGTGAAAGGGGCATTACTGGCAGGAGAAATACCACTAATCTTTTCTTATTTACATCATTTTATGTATGTTAAATATTTTCAATTTTAGTAACTTACATGATCTTATATCTGCTCTTTTTGCATTTCACTCAGCTGAGACAATAAAAATAACCAAACAGTGTCACTCAGTCTAAAATTTTCCTGGTTCACCTGTACTAGCAGAATACTTGGATTGCAATTAGTGAAGGGGAGTTTAAATCCAACCATTTTTCCCATTATCTCACTGAAAGTGTCTATTAATAGAAAAGCTTCTATGAATGTTAATTAAAAAAAGCAAAACAAATTTTAAATCTTAGGTACATGATCCCTAACTAGAACTCTTTTTGTGCGATTCCCTTCTTTGTACAGCATAAGAAACTTTTGCATTAACGTAGTGCTTTTCAGCCAAGGATCTCAAAGCACTCCATAAACAGTCTTGTGAAGTATTACCCCTCTTTTACACTCAGGCTATGTCTACACTGTAAGCTAGGGAAACAATTCTCCTACTCATGCACATGTACTTGTAGCATTAGAGCTTAGCATGGTGTATCAACAGCAATGTAGCCATGGTAGCACAGTAAGCAGCAGCAAAGCCATAGCTGAGTGATGCCAAAAATGTTCACCCCAGTTTCAAGCTGGTTTACATGCAGGATGGCTCTGCCGTGCTTATGATACATGTGCTACTGATGTTTGTACTCAGGCTAGCTGTCATTGAGCTACCGCATGTATACACAAACAGAGGGTGCACACCCCTAGCTTGCAGTGTAGACACAGATTCAAGCACCAAGAAAAGAGTGACTTCCTTTAAGTCAAATAGGCAGTCAGTGAAAGAGCCAACATTAAAGCCACGGAGCTCAGGCTCCTCATTTCCTTACAACTTCTAGATAATATTCCCTCCAAAGACTGGACAGAACTCTGTAGAGAGAGTCAATGCCTGAAGAGGTAAACAGCAAATAGCCTATAATAGCCTGAAGAGGTAAACAGCAAATCCTGAAATACACACACTTTCAGTTCCACATGCTGTCTCCATAGATCCAAATCACTGAAGACTTTGGGAGCAAGACGTATAACTTTATACTCTATCACTGGAAAGAAAGTTGGAAACGCTACCTTTGGTATTCCTATACAGAGCTTGCTGGCATCTATAAAACTCGGTAGTTCAAACGGCTTAAAGGGATCCTGCACAGTAGTAGAGTCTTTGGGATCATGACCTGCAAGCACACCTGAAAGATGAAAAAAGGCTTGTGAAACTCAAAAGTAGTACAGTGGGCTCTTGAATTCCAAAGATTTTGGAAAAAAAATGTATATAAAGATGGGCACTAATAATACCTAATACAATCGCTGCATCATCCACACATCTGGTTAAAATTCCTGGTACGTCCATGGAGTTCACTAATGGAATGAGACCATGACGAGAAATCAGTCCATAGGTTGGTTTTAAACCTACTACTCCACAGAGAGCAGCTGGGTTTCTGGTGGACCCTCCTGTATCTGATCCTAAAGCCCTATGGTTTAAATAGAATCATCATTAATAGGACTGATACTTCAAAACAGATCCAAATTGTCTCTGCTCTTAAAAGTCACAGACTTATAAATGGGATTTTTTTCAAATGCACAAATATGAGAATAAGTTAAAGTACATCTTCCTTTAGGCACTCAGCTCCTATTTAATAGGCAAACAAAACCATTAGCTAATGAGTATTCTTAAATAAAAGCAGCTGGAATCTTCTATACAACTAGCAGACATTGCTACATAACTCAAACTCTTACACAAATTACCATTTATATCCTTATATCTTCCTGGTGAGAAAATTTGCAGCCAAAAATTCTGCATTCCAAAATTAAAAATTCTGCAAATTTTATTTGTCAAAATTTCAATACAGGTTGGATCTCCCTGATTTGGCACCCTTAGGACTGGAGCAGTCCTGAACCAGGAAGGTTACTGGATCAGGAGAGGTCAATGCTCCTCTTCCGACTGTCAGCTCTGCTTTGGCTCTGCTCCTGGAGGCAGCCCTGGCTACCGGGCTCTGCTTCCACCAGTAGCCAGGACTACGCTTTCTGAGGTGCTAGCTCTGCTGCGACTGGCCTCCCAGTCCCACGTTCCTGGCTGTCTAGGCTCTTTGGTCCAGAAATATCTGTGAGCTTGCCAGACCAATGTTGTGGGCCAGCCCTGCTACTCCCGTCTATCCCAGAGTCCAGTTGGGAGATCAGACACTCACATCTCCTTTCCCCAGATCCCTGCCATGGAGACCCTCCAGCCAATACAGCTAAATGTCCTCCCAGCCCTGTGAGCCCGCCTAACCATATTCCTGCACCCTCTCACTCCTCAGATCCCAGCCATGTCCCTCCCAGACACATGTCCCCTAATTCTCAGAGCCCAAGAAGGAGAGAGAGCCTGATTCTTGGTACTAGGCTTGCACGGTGTTTCCTGTGTACTGCCCTCTCCTTCCCCTCAGGCATATTGAGAACTGCAACTGCTAGGATCTCTCTAGCTCTCCCTCCTTCCCCAGCAGTATCTTTGTATGTGGGAACTGGGCTCTGGTGGGTCCAGTTGGTCCTACTGGCAGCCAACAGCATTGCAGCCCACTTCTGCGGGGGGAAAAGGAAATTATATGCAAAAAATATTAATTTCTGCAAAATTCTGCATTGTGCAGTGGTGTAGAATTCCCCCTTGCAAATACTAAGATAAACCTTTCATCCTGAAATTGCACACTTTGTATATTTATCTTACAGCTAAAAGCTACTCCATATACATAATACATTTTATCTATATTTTCACACAAAATGTTAGCATTTTACAACATCATCATAAACCAATACTAGCTTCTACAAAAACCCATCTCTTTTCAAATCTACATTGAAAAAAAAAAGAATTTCTAAGTGTTTGCATAACTTGGTTGTTTATAGTATATCTGGGTTCTGAAGATTATTAGTTCCCAAATCCTATGTCTGAATTATTAGGCAAACACTGACACATAAATGAAGTATGTTGGAGGAAGGAATATTACAATTTAAGAGTTGAGATCTTTAGACAGCACAGAATCGAGATTTTTCCCCTTTTTTTGGTGGGAGGTGGCATCCATGGATCCCATGACATTTTGAGACAGAGTTGGTATGAATGATAACAGCAACATTCTTTGTTGCTGCCACCATAAATGTCAAGCAGTGCAAAATGTTCCTGGCAATATTTTGAATGATACTCAGAATGAACAGACTAAAGCTTACCTTTACGTAAATCACTGATAATTTATGTTCTGCATTTCAGAACCTCTATGTTTTCCCTAGCGGAACTAATTCTTCAATACAGTGTAAATTATCCTATAGTTTCAAACAAAAACATTATCTTCCCTTCTCCTGGCACTTCACTAGTAACCTAGTTCATAGAAAATTCTATAAAACAAAGGAAGCATGGAGGAAAAAAGGGCACACACTGTTATGATGCAGTTAATAATTCCATAAAGGTTCTTACGTAAAACATGTGAAAGAAGACACTGCAGCAGCACTGCCTCCTGAGCTTCCTCCTGTTATCAGCCAATTGGAGTCTTCATTCTCAGTCTGGGTGTTCTGCACACATTTTTCTCTATACTGCCTTGAATAACTCCAGGGGTTTCTGACTGGTCCAAATATTCCATCTGTGCTCCCAGATCTGAGAAGAGAAATTCAGATAGGACAAACATAGACAACTATATTTCAATACTTCACATTATTAATATGTGTTTTTCTTCCAATTCCAACTATTACTCCTGACCCTTCAGGCAAATCTGACTGTGTTATGGAAAGGCTGGTATAGATTTACTTGTGAAGTTGACCCAATGCTGTTAAATTAAGAGTTGCAGGAAAGCTTAAAAACCTATTGTTATACCTTCACGCCTTTCTACAGAGCAGACTGAAGGCTAAATTCTCCTAACTCACCCTAAATTAAGTACAACTCTACTGAAGTCAGTGGATTCAAACCATGTAAGCGACAGGCAAATTAAATGATGAGTCTGCTTCAAAATTAAGATCTTTAAGCCTGAGATACAGTAAACTGCCAACCCTAGGTATGAGAGAACCACAAAAGATTGGTTGAAATAGCATGTCATTAGAGAGAGTCACACAATGGTGGGAATGTAGACTGTTCTGTAGAAAGCACAGCCCTTCCTGGAATATTTTAGGGTTTCCAAGATGAGGTAGAGTACAGAGGCAATGTGATAATTCTCATGCTTAGGTGATGGATCAGAGGGTAATTCAGTTACCAAGAAAACTGGAGTCATCTTGAAATTAAATACTACACAATTAATCCCTCAGTACCATCCTATCATGCACAGCTGCTACAGTGTCTGGCCTTCCTTTCTTAAAATCTCACCACAATGGATACACACCATAACTGGATAAATATTCACTGAGAAATTCACAGACAGTCATTAGATACTCATGGGGAGAATTTCCCACCATAACACAAATGTATGAAAACCCAGCCGTTAAGGATTAGAAATTGATTATAATCCATGAAACAATATTAAATATGTAATATAACTTACCCCATTGCAAATTCATCTAGATTTGTTTTTCCTAGAAGCACAGCCCCCTGATCCAATAACTTCTGAACTACTGTAGCGTTGTAAGGGGGAATATAACCTTGAAAAAAATCAGACTGGTTAAAAAATTGTCTGATGTCATCTGGAGGACTTTCAAAGTCATCATCTCTGCATGGCAACTGTCACTGTGCAGTGCTACCAAGTTTCTTTATGACAGTAGCAGTGATAATCAAAATGTATTGATAATAAACAGGGAATAAGCCTTAATCAGCACTTTTATTATTTCCTAGAGACTTCCTTCTCCTGAGACTGAGCCAACAGTATAGTTAGTATAGTTAACTCAGACTTGTTCACATGGAGATGAGAACCAAGTAAGCATCACCTGGTGTTGCTTACCAGTTACAGTTAACTGGGGAGGACTGAAGCAGCCCGTCCCTGTTCAATCAGTTAATTGGTTAAAACAATGTTTAACTGCTTACCTAATTAAAAAGGATTTTACATCCCTAATTGCAGCCTGAGTTCTAACAGCTGTTCTGACCAATACTGATGCAGAAATCTTTTTCTGAGAAAGCTATTAGAGCCTATATCAGAATTTCACCTTCAAGACTCTCACCCACGCACAATTACCCCTGCTTTGGTGGCATGCAGTATAAAGGCAGTCTGAGATACCAACTAACCAGCAATGGTCAGGTTATAGTCAATTTTCCCCCTTTCATTATTACAAACAAAACTATAACACTAATTGAAATCAATTAGCAAGATTTGTCCCCAATTTTTTCAGTTAATTTCCCTTCATTAGTTAATGTTCGCTGTTTGTAGAAATCTAATACAGCTATGTGAGATTTTTTCCCCCAAATAGGATAATACTAGTGCTTTTACTAATGAAACATATCCGTACAATCCTATGGACAGCTTGATGGGCCTACTGAGTGAAATGAGCTATGGGTATTCAAAAGGAAAAAAAATTGCTATAAAACAAAAATCCAGAGAACATAATTTGAAATAATAACTTTCATATTAAATATAAGACAACCATTGAGCTCAAGAACTAGGAACAAATGGCTACAAACACAACAAATATTATGTTTGCAATGTGATATGCAGTGAAACCTTGTTAACCAGAAAACTTTGTTAACCGGCATTGCTGCCAGCCACAATACTGTCACATCTTCAGGCACACAGGTCTGGCTTGGTTTACCATGATTGGCTTAACAATTTTTTATTTAAGACGTACTAATCATCTTTAACTCAAAATAGAAATGTGAGACCAACAGTCTCACACTACAAAACTACCAATATTAAAAACTTGAGTTTTACTATTATTGTCCATTAGTTTTTCCTAGGTTGATGGAACCCTCAGATAACCGGAATTTTTAGATAGCCAGAATGCCCTAATCCCCGAGCATGACGGATAACACAGGTTTTACTGTACAGGCAGTCCCCGAGTTACGCGAATCCAACTTAAGTCGGATCCGCAGTTACGAACGGGGCTTTTCTCACCCCGGAGGACGGGAGCGGCGGGACACCCAGATGTGCCGCGGTCCCGCCGCCCACGTCCTCAGGGGCAAGAAAAGCTGCTCCGCGTCTCCCCAGTCTGCTGGGGGGAGGGAGGGCTACCCCCAGCAGACCAGGGAGACTGGGAGCAAAGCCGCGGAGGACGCCAGCAGCGGGACAGCCCAGATGTGCCACGGCTGTCCCGCTGCCAGCGTCCTCAGAGGCTTTGCTCCCAGCAAACCAGGGAGACGCAGAGCAAAGCCGTGGAGGACCCGGGCGGGGGGACC